GGGAGGCTGAGGCAGGAGGATCGTCGCAAGTTCGAGACCAGCCTGGGCTACAAAGTGAGCTCAAAGCCAGCCTGAACTGCACAGCAAGACGGTGTCTCAAAAAAAAAAAAAAAAAAAAAAAAAAAAAAAAATCTTCATATATGTGAGGTGTTTCCTTTTGGGGGGTTTCTTTGGAAGTGGGTATTCCAGCTTGGCCTTTGAACTCGGATGCTCCTACCTTAGTTTCCGGATTGCTGAGATCACAGGCATGTGCCACCAAGCCTGACTCAAAATCTGATTTTTATATATCAACTTCTGTTTCTGTTTGCATGTGTTTGCTGTGCTAGGGATGGAACCCAGAGCCTTAGGCATGCTGGGCAAGTGCTGCTACCCCTGAGCTATATCCCCACCCATCTACTTTTTAAACAATACTATTCAAACATGAATCCTCTTCAACTGAAGAATCCACCGGGGTCAGGTTATTAAATATGAGGCTTGAATTTGAAGTCACTGTGCCTCACCCTTTCTTGTTTAAATTTGAACACTATCCAATGCTAATTCAACATTAAAGGATAAAACAAACTCAGTGGTTTTAGAGTGTGGACTGATGAGTCAGACAAACCAGGTATTAATGTCCGCTGTGAGGCAGGCACCAGCTGGGTGACCTTATCCTTTTGGAACATCAGTTTCCTAGTCTGCAAAATGGGGATAGGAGCAGCAACTTCGCCAGCTGTTTTGAGTACCAATGCAAGGATTCTAGTAAATCACGCGGTACGTAACTGATTATCTTAATTATAAATGAAAGCCAAGGAAATGAAGTGGTAGGATCTATAACTGAAAGCGTAGTTTGTCCCTGGGTGACCCAGGAGAGCAGTCGTCCCACTGCCGTGAACCCTCTCTTACCGGTCTTGGGTTTAGACTCGCCGGCAGGCCCCGCCGAGGCGGCGCGGGGCGGCTGTTGCCCCTTGCTGCTGCCCGAAGAGGCGGAGGAGCTGTTGGAGCCGCTGTTTTTGTCCATGTCGGAGGCGGTGGCGGCAGCGTTGGGGGAGCTCTGCGGCATCAACGGGGGCCTCGGCGGCGACGGCAGTCGGAGCGGAGCGGGCGCGGCGGGGACCCAGGCTCATGGCGTTCAGGGCCGGCGGGGGTCGGCGGCGGCAGCGGTTCTCGGCCTTCATGGCGACATTTTTCCTTGATTCCTTCCTTGGCTTCTCAAACTGGGAAGAGAAGCGGCAGGCGGGGCTTTTCCGCCCAGCAAAGGCGATGACCCAGAAGGAAGAGGAGGCCGGGGCTTGGAGGTCCTGGCCGGGCCTGGCGGGGCGAAGGCTGCAGGGAAAGGGGAATAGGAGGAGGGTGCGCGAGCCCCGCCGGCCGGCCGGACACGCTCTCCCGCCGCGGGGCAGGAGAGAGGGCTGGTTGTCTTGGTGTCGGGGACAGGTGTCTCCGACACAGCGACGGACACTCGCCTCTAGGCCGAGGCCGAGGTGCTCCCGGAATGGCGACGAGTCGCCAAACAGCATCTCGAAGAACCCGGATGGACTATATATAGTAGAGAAGTAAACGTGAAGCACTCTGGGAAACGTAGTTTTTTTTTTTACATCCGGGTCCAAAGATGTTCCCCCCCAACACACACACACACACCTCCCCCGCATCTTCCCACATAGAGGGCTTATGGGATCGTGGCACCTGTAGTTCCAGTCAAGTCCAGGTTTTGTTCTATGTAGGTTAATAATGTAGGCAATAACAATGGTGCAGCTGAATATTGGAATACCTGTGGAATTCCTTTAGGGTTTTTTTTTTTTAATTTATGGTTCTTATTCTAGCATCCTAAGCAAGTGCTCTATCAGGCAGCTACATCTGCCATGTTTCAGTGGACTTTTAGCAGTCATTTAAGGTGAAAGAATGAATAAATCTCTAATTGTGCCCTTCTTGGCTCCTTATTAATCATCACATGGTGTATGACACATTGATCAGTATATATGAATAAATCACTTTCTTAGAATTAACAGTTTAAACTTTTAAAATTTCCTTCATTTCCTTAAAATACCTTCCACCAGTTCTTGTGCTGCTTTACTTTTTTCAGTTAAACACAACCACACAGCCACACACACACACATGCACACACACAAATCATACTGAAGAGAATAGTTATACACTGTTAGTCCTAAAACTTAATTTGATATCCAAAAGGAAGAATCCCAAATCCTGATGTCCATGCTTACATATAACTAGATGTGGAGGACACACAAAAATTCCTTGATGAGCC